CATGGTTGGCCAAACTCGAAAATTCCCTCATTAAAGTTATTTATATCCCAAAGAACATCCTCAAATTTAAATTTCTTGGTATGCGCGTGTTCCAGTTTATACAAACGTTAGATTTCTGATCAAAAAACTCGCGTGTTCGAGCCTCGGATGGAGCACCACTCGGGGTTGGATACGATTGGCTGATGAGTTCTAATGAGCCAGAAATGGCCACATCCAATCTGCCTTGCATTCGGCGGCAGTGCTAGTAACCACTCAACGGCTGCTCGAGAATGAGCCCCAAGGCAGACTGGGTCGAGCGAGTTCCATTTGCGATCGACGAACATTAATCAAGGAGCGTTGGTATACTTCTGCAATGCTTTCTTGACAAGAAGATGACTCGATCGCTGGAACAGTCTAGGCAGGCAGTCACTGGGAGAGAGTAACGGAGGAATAGGCTTTATTTCGAAAACATCATTCTAAAATATGCAACAAGAAGTCCTCCCTTCACCGTGGATAAAACCAGATACACAAAACAGATAACACTGGAAGCTAGCCAAGACCGAAATTCTCGACATGCTGACTAATCGCCATTGAACGTGTTGAAAAATTTAGGTCAGGTTGAAATTTCCTCAAAATGATGCTAGCGTCGTGCGCAGATGACATCATTATTGTAGTTCAGCGAAACGATGAGGAGTGAAAATGAATATATAGTGAGCCAAATAGGCCAATCAATGTTAAAATGGATCCGACAAACACAAGGGAGACCGGAATGGCCATTTCTGGCTTGTTAGCCGTCATTAGTTAGTCATACCCAATCTCAAGGGTTGGAAGCTCCGAGATTTGAATCCGGGACCTTTGATCATTGAGTTCAATACTCTACCTCGGCACCACGGGCTCCTTGCTGTGTCGATGTACATACAAGACACTTCCCATGTGAATGGAGAACAGAAGAAATGACAGCTCAATTTAAAAAGCCCAGCGCAGCACTGCCCGTCTTTAAGAATGCTCCCTTGCGCTATTGCATAACTGCGTTTACTGCTGACGTCTGCGATTGTCAGAAATTGAAACGGAAACCTTGTTGTTAGCTCCCCGATGAAGCACCTCTTCGGTGTGCATCTGAGGTGTCTCGCTATGCGGTTTTGCCTTCCCATTCCTTAAAACAGACCATCGTATTCGTTCAACTGTCATTTCAATTTCATCGGAATTTAAGTCCGCCTATTTTTTGCGTGTTTAAGCTGCCAGTTCTCACCTGTTCGTGGTTATTTTGCGTGTAAAGCAACAGGACGTAGCAGACTCCTAGGGGGTTCTCAGGACCGAATAACATGTCTGGATGTTGTCGGAAGCGCAGCAAACTTATAGGAGTGAAGGTTAAGACGGTTAACCCTAACACCTACA